TTATGTACCACTAACTGTCTATCATACTAACTTCATTGGATATGAAAACCTCCATTCTTTTATAAGGAGACGATTCACCTTGTCTGACAATTATGTAAGCGAGAAGTATTTGATCGAGAAAACGTCCTTACTCAGTATATGTGTTGATGAGATGTAACTAATTATTCTATGAAATCAGTCGAGATCGATACAAACAAGCTAAACCTCATGAGAGGTACTAGTCGAGATACACACACGAATTGACTCGAATATCACCGAGAAGCGCCATATCAAGAAAGCCCTTTCTGTCAATATATGTGCTGATGTGACGTAGCCAATTACTATGTGAAATCAATCGAGAAATACATATAAACTAACCCGATAAAAAATACCAAATATCCCATATAACTAATTGAGATATACTCAAACTGACTCGAACATCATAGTCATACGAAATTTGAAAATGTTACATCATTGAACCATGGACCACAACAAGACATAATTTACCTCTCCCCACTCCTTAAGGTCCCCATATTATCATCTCTTTCTTCTTCAACCCCACACTTCTTTATTCCCATGTCCCAATGCTTCCTTTTAGCTTAATCTCTCCATTAACTCATCCAAATTTCTACTAATTCAACCTCAAAAATCTCCATTTTTAAGCTAATGGAGGTACTAATCAAACTTAATCAACCCCCTTAATGATAATTATCCAAAACCCTAGATCTGTCCCCCTATTAGGTAACTCCAACAACTTTTGCTCTCTATATCTCACACACTGAAAGTCTGAAACACCTTTATATTAACTCCAGTTGTGATAATAATTTCTGGGCACAGCTTTTTTTGGTGAATTGTGAAGTGGGTATTTGGGGATTTTTGTTCTTTTTTAGGTGGGAGATGAGTATGGCGGCGGAGAATGGGTACAGACCGCCATTCACGGCGGTGCAGTGGCAGGAATTGGAGCATCAAGCAATGATATATAAGTATTTGGTGGCGGGTATTCCGGTGCCGGCGGACCTTGTTGTGCCTATACGACGTAGCTTTGAACCCATTTCTGCGAGGTTCTTTCATCATCCTAGCTGTATGTATCTCTTTCTAGTTTCTTCTGGTTGTCAATTTTTTTCCCAGTAATTTTGGTATTGACCAACTTGCATGCAAAGATGGATCCAGATTTAAGCTTGTTGGGTTGTAATCTTTAAAATATTTTAGCATTTGATTCATTGTATTGTTAAAGTTATGTGATAAAAATCTTATCTTTATTGAAAATTTTGATTTTTTTTTTCACTAGATATCATCTTCTAGTCTAAAAAGATACTGGGTTCTTCCTATCTGTTAAACCTTGATAGACAGAGTTATCCGGTACTTGTGCTGGAAAGTTGGGCGCAAGTTGGCTCGGACACCATCGTTATCCAAAAGAAAAATACTGGGTTTGAAATAAACTAAATCTGCTTCTCACTAGATTATAACATAGTGTTTAGACTAATAGGAAGAGATCATATGTTTTTTTTCTCATTTTAACCGAGGACATTCCTCTATTCATTTTGTAAGTAGTATGATGGAAAAGTCTGCATTTCTGAAATGGAAATTTAGTATGGTTTGATAATGAAATTGGAGCATGTAGATCAAGTCATAAAGATAACTCTTGTGTCATTGTTTCCTTTTTGGCTCAATATTTTGTTAAGGCAGCATTGGCGGAGGCAAGATTTTCGCCAAAGGGTTCATTGTCTACTATATATATATAAAGTTGACTTTGTATATACAATGTGATTTTCTTGTGAAACACTTCTTCTCCGCTAGCTCTGTCCCTGTAAGGATAGTTCTTATTGGTAGCCATTCATTTTGTTTTCATCTCATTCCACTTCCTTGTTTGAAGATCTGCTGATCCATTCATTTCAGCATATTTCTGTAATTAGTTATTGTAAGGGAAACATTTATTTCTTTTATTCGTTTGGTAGGACTGCAGGATAAGCCGATTTTGGGTTTGAGTAGGTTGCTAATTTATTCTAAATATATGACGTGTTGGACTATACTTTTGCGCTTCTGTATCGTACAATAATGTAAGAGGCGGCATGTTAGTGCTTTTGTAGACACTTATCTGGTGTCTATTTTGGTTTTATGCCATAATTTATGAGTAATTTATATTTCAATGTCTGTGGAGTGAGTAAATTTCAATCTCTATTCTGGTAAAACTCGTATCTGCTGGAGTTCCGACTGCGGACAACTCAATCAAATGTAATAAAATGTTCTCTTTTCGTGCTATGCTCTTCTTTTTTAAGGGGTCTGAGGGAGGGGTGTTGCAGCCCTACTGTGTTTGCTAAATATGAACCTTATTAGTTTGTATCTTGTGCTGTCAGTGGGTTATTGCTCCTATTATGGGAAGAAGTTTGATCCTGAGCCAGGAAGGTGTAGAAGGACAGATGGAAAGAAGTGGAGGTGCGCCAAAGATGCATATCCTGACTCAAAGTATTGCGAGCGGCACATGCATCGAGGCCGCAACCGTTCAAGAAAGCATGTGGAATCTCAATCGACTGCCCAGTCCTTGTTGACTAGTATGTCACATAATACTACTGGGAGCAGCAAAACAAGTGGAAACTTCCAACGTAGCAGTAGTGGCAATTTCCAGCGTAGCAGCAGTGAAAGCTTCCAGAACACGCCACTATATTCTGCTGCTAATACTGAAGGACCAAGTTATGGAAGTGCCACAACAAAGATGCAGATGGAGCCTGCCACCTATGCAGTAGATAGCAAGGGGTATGGGTAAATATTCTTTGTTCTCTATGTTTCCTCTTATCCTGAGATGCATTTCTCTGATGGTCATCTTTAATTACTTGTTACCTTAGAAGAAATCTGAAGTAGTTAGCATTTACCAAGTTAAGAGGATCTTCCTGCATTGAATTTGGTCTTTGACTGCACAAGTGATGTTCAATACTGGTTACATGTGAAAAGGCTTGCTTCTATGATCTGTGTTTTCTGTTGCCGATTAAAGATAAAAATGTTACATTCAAATCTTTTACATTCGGAAGGATTCTAAATAGGACATGTTGGACTATATCCACCTTTTCCCCCTCTGTGAAGCTTAACTTCCAAATGGTAAACAGAATTTGGCGTTCTAACTCTGGATTATGTTTCAGATACACGGTGATCTTTTATTTCTAACTATAGTGATCTAGTAAGTGATATTCTGTTTAGGTAATTATGACCTGAGTCTTCCACCTAAAGTATTCTGCATGGTAGAATTGGTTATGCTACTACAAGGAGTCATTCATACTTCTTTGTGTTATACTTTTTCTGCCTCTCTTTCTTTTGACATGCCTGATTATTTGGAGTTCATTTTGCATTTTTAATGAAGTAGTAAGAAGATAGTTGAGAACAAACTTTTGTCATTTAAGAAACTTTGTCCTTTCAGACCTTATATCTCAGATAAGAAAAAAGGCATTGTTTGGTCTTTAAATATTGTGGTGTATAGTGTTTGGTACCATAGGTAGGTCCATCCTACTCATGTCATACTATTATTGAGTGCGATGCTGCAGTTAAATCTGTCTAATACGCTCTCCTGTCTTTCGAGAAATAAGTGGTGTAACTTGAAACTAGACTACATGACTTGTAAAATAAGAATTTGGTAAAACATATTAAATTATTGAGATAGCAAATTGGGCTACACTTGTGTAACATCCAGTTTCATGAAATTCAAATTGGCAACACAGGTATTTCCATGGAATGACTGCTGATGCTGATGAGCAGAATTTCTCTCTCGAAGCTTCGGCAGGCACGAGAAGTTTAGGGATGGGATCTAACACAGACAGCATGTGGTGTCTGATGCCTCCACAACTTCCCTCAAGCCCCATGGTGAAACCAAAAAATGATTCACAGTTGCTAGATAGCTCGCGACAAATCCGAATGCCTAATCCATTCGAGCCTATGAATGATACAACTATTTCGGGACAACACCAACACTGCTTTTTCAGCAGTGACATAGGCTCTCCCGGGACAGTAAAGCAGGAGCAACGTTCAATGCGCCCTTTCTTTGACGAATGGCCTACAACTAAGGAATCATGGTCCAATCTTGATGATGAGGGATCCAACAAAAATAATTTCTCCACTACTCAGCTCTCCATATCCATTCCTATGGCTCCTTCTGACTTCTCTTCAAGGAGTTCTTGTTCCCCAAACGGTGAGTTAACATCCTCGAGCAACCTTTTTATCCAATTAAAGTCGCATTCTATAGCAAGACAGCCATGACTTATGATTTTGCATCGCGTGCAGATGCTTGAGGAATGCTACCATTGCAATAAACAGTTTCCGGTGCTGTGCTGAGGAACAGATATGCTAGTCAAATTCTCATCAGTACGAGTCAAGGGAATGAACCCCCGCCCCGGATGCCAAAGTTACCTCTTCAGCTGCTGGAGAACATCCTGGTACCTATGCATGTCTTTATGGTGTTTAGATGGTTTACAAGACAATTGCAGCCAGTTTTCGCCGAAAATAAATGTACTTTGCCTGTCTTCACTTGCTGGATTCCAGTTTAAAGATTGCAAATCATGTAATCTAGTTTCAAATAAGCTGATGATATTTTAGTCACCAAGTTCTTATTCAGTGTATCCTTTATTTGGAAGTTCTCATCTTTAGATGATGTTTGTTTGCCAATTTCTTAGATTGTGTCGTTTTCTATAGTCACATCATACTACTCATCAACAATTTGAACGATAAACTTAAAAATAAAGTATAGTACAAAATAGAGCTATTATGAAAAAGTAAAATAAAAGATAACATAGAATTATTAAAAGTAAACATAGACAAAAGGGGGGAAAAGAAAGCAAATGACATGATTACATCTAATTGATCATTACCGAAAATGAGACTTTATTGTTATATAACATTATATTCAAAATGACATGATTACATCAAATTGATCATTATAGAAAATGAGATGTTATTGTTATATAACATTATATTCAAACTAACGATAATACAATGCAAATAGATAACAACCATCCAAACAAGATGTAAACAATCTCCAACCATCACTTTGCTTGCATAATATAATCTTTAAAATCATGCAAATTAGCAATTGAACCAACTGGAAAATTAGCATTTCTAAATTTGTCATTTAATTCTTCAACTCTATCATGAACTTGTTTATCCTCCATTAATCTCTTAATCCCTTGTATAATCTCATCCTTCTTAACCTTTTTCAACCCAATATTTTCTCTAATTGATGATACCATATAACCAATCTTGAGATGACACACAATAGATTTTGCATTATAAAAATTATCACCTCTAATTGGCCATGCCAATAAAGGTACCCCTTGTCCAATTGCTTCCATAGTCGAATTCCATCCACAGTGAAACAGACATCCGCCAGTCGACGGATGACTTAAAATCAACAATTGTGGGGCCCATCCATGTATAACCAAACCCCTATTCCCAACTTTATTTTCCAAGTCATTAGGATAATAATCTTGATTCTTGGAAATTACCCATATGAAATTTTGACTTGAAAGCTCTTCTAATGCCTTTGAAATTTCTTCATGTTCTTGTAAAGTTGGCAAAAGTTCACTACCAAAAGAAATGTAAATTACTGAATTTGGTGATTTTGTGTTTAGCCAATTGAGTACTTCATCTTCTGAATAATTTGATTTTTGACTTGAATTATTAATTGTTCTAATGTCTTTGTCATGAATTAGGGATTTAGTGGATGTAAGTAACCAAAATTTTTCTGGTAGAAGGCCAATTCCATAAATTGGAAGTCTTGTTTGTTTGGCTAAATATTCCAAGAATGTGTGTTCTAGTACATCATATGTGTTCACAAGAATGGCACTTGTAACCTTAACCTGTTAAAGAAAAAAAAGAAGAAATATGAAGACATAATTATGATTGGGATAAAATATCAGAAACACATTTTAAACTATGGTGAAATTGTCGACTATACATTTAAACCACCAATAAAAAGTCATTATACAACTAAAGGTGTAACCTAGTGACTAATGAAATGGTTGATAATCATGAGGTCTCGGTTCAAAATTAAGCAGAGACAAAAACACACTAGGTGATTCTTTCTATCAGTCCTAGCCTTAATGGACAGAGTTACCTGGTACATGTTGTTGGTGGGGTGGCTGATATCCCGTGGAATTAGTCGACGAACGGAAAAGCTTACCCATACACCATGGTCATATAAAAGAAGTCTATCATTTTTCGCTGAATTTTCAGTGAAAAATATCCAGTGGCTATACCCACAAATGTTATGTTTTCATACGAAAAAATTAGAAAGTTACCCTCTATTTCAATGAAAATGTGTCTTTTCAGTGAGCTAGTTAGTTGAAAAAAAGAGTGAAAAACCATAACACAAATTTCCACTAAGAAAATCCTTTGTTTCTAGTAGTGAAACGTACTATGAAGGGTGATGGCGTGAGGTGGGGGACTATGACCTTTGTGAACTTATTTTTTTTCGAAGTTTGTTATTTAAATGGTAAGTTTAAAGTTAAATATTATAAAGTATAATATTTTCTTAAAAGTAATAATATAGAGTAAAAAGAAAAATATGTCGCGTAAATTAATATTAATTACCTCTTGGACCCAAACTGGCTCATCACCAGGTTGTGTTGGAAAAGATTTCTTCTTTGTACCAATTAATGGTTCCTCTGATGAACCATAGTATCTCCTTACTATATCACCATAATCCATTGCCATTTCATCGGGTAAACCCGGAAGAAACCGGGTTTCACCTGATAGGCGGATAACAAAGATTATTAGTTACGTAATATTTATTTATTTTTATGCAAAACATAGATATATCGTATGTAGTTATTTCAGTGTATATACAGATATTACCCTAATAATTACATCGTAGAGATACAGATGTTTCTAAAAAGTCTTCAACTCAAGTAACACATATAGAGGTAAAACAGGACATAACAAATAATAAAGAAAGCGTAGTATACCATAAAGACTAGAATAATATGATAGGTAGTAGGCTCCAAAGGCGGACCCACCCCTCTAAGTGGGTGTGCACGTGCACCCATTAACTTTGAAAAAAATCATGTATATATATAGGAATATCTATCTTGAAAAATTGACAGAAATTAGGATATAATTAACAGTGCACCCATGAAAAGAATAGAAGTGTCACTGTGCTACTAGTACAAAATAATGTTAGTACTATCTACCCATCAAGCCTACCCCATAGGAGAGCGAGACAACATTGAACTATTTTCTAACTTTCTACCCTAACTTGTGACTCAATAAATATTAGATCATGTAATTAGGATTTGACTATTAAAAGTTAGATTCATCGATAAAATTTAAATTCTGAATGCGCTAACCTGGTATGATGAACTCTACATCAGCTTTCCAAGCAGCATAATCCATAGCAAGGGAAGCAGCACTAAAAGGGGAAAATGCCACAATAGGCACTTGAAATTTGGTGAAAGCATCTCCAAAATGTGGCAAAATCATTATATCAACTATAGCACAAACAATTTTCAACTTATTATTTTTAGTCACATTATTATTATTTTTACAATAAGATGTTAAAATTGATTCTAAACCTTGTCTCATTTGCTTGTAATGCATCATAATAGGCTGCGGGTTGAATTTAATTTCGGGGCGGGGAGGGGGAGGTATCGGGGCATCAACATCCGTTACGTTAACTAACGGATGGTGCGCCAGGGAAGAGGAAATGGAGGAGGAGATATCGGACGATAGAATAAATGTAGTTTTGAAATTAAAAGAAGAGAGTTTTTTGCAAAGCTCAGTCAAGGGCAAGACATGGCCTTGCCCAAAAAATGGGACTACTAAAATCTCTCCAATAGCATTCTCCATGTTGTTTATGAAATTTGATTAGTTTTTTCGTATTTATTCTTAAGAGAAAAACCTCGAATTTTCTTCTGTGAGTAACGATGTGATGACACGTATAAGATTATGTGTCGAAAAGTAAGAAACAAGTGTCACTTGCTAGGTGTAAAGATTCATGCATGCAAATAGTGCTGTAACGCATGCATTCTGGCACAAACTTCTTAGCAAGGATGAAGTAAGCCATTGGTGTCTTGTTTTATGAGATTTGTGCCACAAATTATTGACAGTTTTAAAAATATTTCTATACTCGATAACTTAGATACATAATAAGTGGCAAACTCTTGTCGGAACATGAGATCTTTAATAAAAAGCCGAGAGAAGTGTTGGAAACACCCCTAAAGCGAGAATTTAGAAGTGTATTTCACTCATGTTGCAAGATCTCGGATGTATGTAAGTTCAGTTAGTCAAGTAAATAGGTGTTTTTAAGGTTGTTGATAGTTAAGGGATGAAGCTAATAATTCACACCGAGTTTAGGGGTGTTTTTCAGCAGTTCTCTCTATTTTTTCTGTTTTAATTTGATTGTCTTGTTTTGACTTTAACACTGCATTTAAGAAAGTATTCAAGACTTTTGAATCTTGTGATCTTAAACTAAAGATACGAATAATATCGCCTAAAAGATCGTTTAATCTAGTAGTCATAATCACGTCGACTGTAATGAAAAGTTGAAATTAAAGAATTGTCACGAAAGAAATGAAACATTTTTTGAAACTGACTTAAAAAGAAAGTGGACTAACAAATTGAAACGGGAGGAGTTTTATAATTGTAAGTATTTTGATGAATACAATATTAATTTGGATAGATTGTATCGTTTTCTACCATTACATACACACTACAAAAAATCCGAGAAGTATTTATCAGCAGAATAGATGGACGAAGGGTATATTGAGACCTTTTGCGATAGTTCAGAGACATTTTTAACCCTTTTCCGTATAATTCAAATTCTAACTTCCATTCAAACAATGTTTTCCAAACTAAAAGAAATCAAAGCATGTTAACAACATTTGCAATATAGTATCAACCTAATAACTGCAACTGTAAATACTCTTTTTTCTTCTACCTATGCTTCCTACTATCTGTGGGAAGGCATAAACAAAGGCCAATGCTATGAAGTGTACAATGTACATTGACCCTTCTGGGATAGAGAAACATTGTGCTCCTCAACATGTTGCTTAATCCTTTGAACCTGCAAGAAATCGATACACGACATGTGAGAAGTTATTCGTGTTCTCTGGATTGCAGTAAAAGGTGGATACATGTATGTTACGCGGATTCATTTATGGTATATATCGGGTATGAGTGTGTGCAAGTATCCATATGAGGTACCCAACACTGGCAATGTCATGGTTGCAAAACAGTTATAAATGACAGCACCACAGACTACACAGATGACAACGCGTGATATATTAGCGTGGAAGTATCAGTAAAGGGAACGTTGGCAATAGAAAATATTGAAACAAGAACATTCAAGTTTCTATTATGTGGACCTTTTCTTAGTTTTATGGGAACAAATGATTGCAGATAGAGTACCGGCTTCGTTATTCAAGAACATTTAACAGTTTAACACAGATTCAAGATAAGACTATAACACGGTTTCAGTGAACCAGAAGGAAACAGTAATCATGTTCAACGATCCCCGAACAAGTCTTGATGAAAACAGTAACATGTTCAATAGAACTTCCTTGTGCTCTATGATCGAAGGGATTCTAAAAAGTTGTCAAAAACATCGATATCATTATCTAGCTTCAGATTACACCTAATAAACGTAACAATCTTCACCTAAAAGATTCATACATAGGAAAGTAGGAGTTACACACTCTTTACTTCTTCCCACTTTTATCACCAAAATGTCATCTACAATTGATTGTGTGCTCCACGAAAAACGAATATAATTGGTGAGTACTTCTTCAATCACAGTAACATATAATACAGTCGGGAGATGGTCAATGTTGGAAAAAGTGGTTGATATGATTGTAAAATGAAAAGGCAATCTTAGTTGCAAATTGCACACCAATCCGAACCAATAACCATATCAACTAAGGGTAGATCAAGTTCCTTTCCTGTCAACAATCACATTTAATCCCATCTTCGTACCAAAGAGCAGCTTGGAACTTAATAATTGGTGTTCTATCAGCAAACTTATCTCCGTTAGTTTGAAGGAATAGATTTGACAGGGACTAACATGTATAATATAGTAGCATGAAAAGTCTAATCATGGTTAAACTGCAATACAGTACTACTTCCATTTGTGAGCACTCTGTAGCATACCTTTGCAAGGATGAAGTAAGCCATTGATACCTTGTTTTAGACGATTCATGCATTGATCGGGAAAGGATATTTTGGTCGGCATTTCAGACGAATCTACCGCCTTCCCTACTGATTCTTTGACCCTTATGCTTGAAAAAGTCTGAACCACTCTTTCTTGGAAGCCAGCAATATTTGAATCGAGGTAACACCAACTGTCTTCCACAATGTTTCTCATGCTTTGTATATCAGTGGATCGAGACATCTCAATAGCACTACTTCTGGCAGCTGTGAATGCTACGAAAGAATATACAGGTAAAATAATAAATCAACTTCAAATGTAGTTTCAAATCACAGACAGTTTGCAATATTCATCAAATATAAACAAAAAGTAACAGAAATGTAAAATGTCCAAATTCATTAAGAAGCTGAATATGAAAAGTTGGTTATTTTTACCATTGTAAGGACCTGTGTAAATGTAATTGGCAGGTAGACCAATGCCAACGCCGAGCAGAGAGAAGCCAACGCTGAATCCAACACCACATCCAGCTCCAACGTAGCCAATAGCCTCAGGACCAAATCCAGGACCCCATCCCACCCCACAGCCAATGCCTATTCCCATGCCCCAGAAGGCTCCATATGTAGGATGCACTGGATTCCATCTTTCGTATCTCCTGAACAGGCCCTTTATAATCATTTCTACCTACAATCACAAGCCCATAAGTCTATCAAATTCTGTTGAGAGACCCTAAGATTACCAAAATGGAAATGTCAAGTCTGGAGGGCCAATTTTAACTCCTTTTGGAAAGTTGTCCTCTCAAAGCTTTCTAACAGTCTAGTCTGGAAGGCAAATTTTACTTCTACGGGGGTTCGATGTCTTACTCCCTCCATCCCAATTTATGTTGTTGTGTTTGATTAGACACAGAGTTTACGAAAGAAAAGAAAAAGACTTTTAAAACTTGTGGTCTAAAACAAGACATAGACGTGACTATAAATCATCACATTAAGGGTGAAATGAGAAGTTCAAAGTTGATTTTTTTTCTAAATAAACGTGACTTTCTTTTTTGGACATACCAAAAAGGGAAGTACGACACAGAAGATGGATCAGGAGTGTTCTCTTTCTCTATCTTTTGTACTGATTCTCCCCACTCATCCCAGTCAACCATCAAGTTGTGGAAAAAAAGTAGCTATTTTAATAATTTGAAAGTTAAACTTGAAAGTTAACCCCTTTATCCCTAGTTCTGTTCGTGTTCACAAACCAGAAGATTTTGCTAACTGCTCCCTTACCAAATGAAACGCTAAGGAAGATTTCAGTATACATGGTTCACACAAGCTATCCTCTTAAGAACAATAGAAAAAACCCAAGAACAAAAACAGCGCAAATTAGCACACTTTAAACAATGAAAACTCATCAAAGTAACCAGCAACACTTAGAAATGAAATGAACAATTCAGTATACTGTACTTGATTCACACAAGTTATGCACTTAAGAAATTGAGAAAACCCCAAGAACAAAAGAGGGTAAAAAAGCTTTCTTTTAAACAGTGAAACCTCAGAGTAAGCAGCAACACTTAGAATTGAAATGGCTAAATCAGTATACTTGATTCACACAAAGTTATGCTCTTAAAATTTAGAGAAACCCAAAGAACAAAATAGCCCTCTTTTAAACAAAGAAACCCCAAAATAAGCACAACACTTAGAATTGAAATGGATGAATCAGTATACTTGATTCACACAAAGTTATGCTCTTAAAATTTAGAGAAACCCCAAGAACAAAATTGCCCTCTTTTAAACAAAGAAACCTCAAAATAAGCACAACACTTAGAATTGAAATGGACAAATCAGCATTTTTGATTCACACAAAATTGTGCTCTTAAAGAACTAGAGAATACCCCAAAGATCAAAATAACACAAAAAGCCTTTTTTTTTTTAAAAAAAACAATGAAACTTCGAAGTAAGCAACAACAACTAGAAACCAAATAGACACTTCAATATAATTGATTCACACAAGTTATGCTCTTATAAATAAGCCAAAAACCCAAGAACAAAAGAGCACAAAATACCTTTTATATAAACAATGAAAGCAAGCATCAACACTTAGAAATGAAAGTAAAAAAAAATATAGAGATTTAAGTTTCTACCATGAAAGGGTGCTGCTCAGTGTAATGTTCTCGAAGCTTGGAGGAAACATAATTTGAAATTGAAATGTTGTTAATATACTAGTATTACCTCTTATGGCCAAAATTGATTCAATGTGATCTATCCATAATATAATACATAGTATAGAGTAAAAAAGAACCCATGATTTGTTTTTATTTTTTTAAAAAAAACATTTCATTTTTTTAAAAAAAATATTCAATATTTGATACCTTAGACCTAAATAATTCTAAATTCATTAATTTTTGGGTAGAGTGTGACTTTATTTCGTAACACCCTAGCTTAGGATAAAATTCTCAAAACAACAAAACATAAGAGATGTTGAGTGATTACATCCTAGCAACACGTTTTATATTATGTGAGTCTAAGAACAAAACGAATAAGGTCACTAGCAGGTTGGATCGTTATAATTTTGAATATTCGACCTTAAAAATTTAAAAATAATAACTGAAACTTTCAACTTTAGTGATAAGTTGTTTAGTTCATGGAATAAGGTAGACTATTAGAATCACTATGAGATGAAATTTATATTTTGTTTAGTTAAAAATTTATATCTCAAACTTTATATT